TTGGGTTCAACATAGTATCAACCACAACTAAAGATACCACAATGTTTTTGTCATCACCTCCATACTCACGGTACGCCATTGGCGAATAAATCACAAATTAATTTTGACACAAGTATATAGTAATTGTTGTGCCGATTTGCTTTTACATGATCGCTGTGGGATCTATCAACACCTCCCATATTCAAGGCTTGTCGACCCAATACCCTATCATTGGTTGCCTACAAAGACCATGGAGAGTCTCAATTAGAGTTAATTGTTCCAATGGTCAACTAAACTTATGTCTACATCTTCGATTGCTTATTGAATTTTAAGGTATCGAGTTTTGGTCACTAAACTTTGAAAAATATTGGACGTTACTCATTAGCTAACTTTTGTTTCAAATATCTAATGAAATTGGTGATGTAGTTGACGGAATGCACATACGGTGCCTTGTCACACTCTTAAATTTTGAGGTGATTGAATTTTGGCTACTAAATTTTGGAAAACTTCTTCAATTGCTCACTAAACTTTGAAAAATGTCTTCTAATAATCATTGAACTTCGAAGTGGTCGAATTTTAGTTACTGGACTTTGAGATAGTTGAATTATGGCCACTAAACTTCAAGGTGGTTGAGTTTTTGCAACAAAACTTGAAAAACGTCTTCCATGGCTCACAAATAAATTGGGTTTAATTAAAATACGTTGTTCAAATTTGGATATAATTTTATTTAACCAACATATTCATTATGTGTTTCGTCATAAAATTCAAATATAATGATAAAAATAACTTAAAAATTAAATTTAACTAGTATGTAATTGAGTAATCATTCATAGTGGTATAGACAATGCTTCCATAGCTGTGCAAATAAAGTGACTACTAATTGCAATGAACCATACAATATATCTATTTTTAAAAGTAAATTAAATTCGAATTTTAACATTGAGTTTTAACCCATGTTTGATGGCCACTTCTATTTTTTTTTTTTAAAAAGAGTTTCAAATAGTATTTTTTTGTAGAATGTGTGATTAAAAAGTTGGAAAAAATTTTTAGTTTACGTATAAAATATTTTATTGTATAAATGTACAGTTAAAAATGAGTATGAGATTAAAGAGTTTTATTTTAAAGAGAGATAAACATAGGCTTAATTAAATTCAAATTTATAGTGAGAAATAAAAGACATTTTTCAAAGTTTAGTAGCAAAAATTCAACTACTTCAAAGTTCAGTAACTAAAATTTAACCACCTCAAAGTTCAGTGAGTAATAGAAAAGATTTTTCAAAATTTAATGGCCAAAATTCGACAATCTCAATGTGATAGGGAGCCACATGTGCATTCCGCCGGCCACGTTGCCAATTCTGTTAGGTTTGAGACAGAATCATGCAGGTGAGTAACGTACAATGTTTTTTTTAAAGTTCAATGGTCAAAACTCGACATTTTAAATTTCACTAAGTAAACGTACAATGTTTTTTTAAAGTTCAATGGCCAAAACTCAATAACTTTAAAAAAACAAAGTAATCTTTGACATAAATGTAAGTTCAATGACCATTGGATCAAGCATATTCATCCACTCATTGAATAGTAAGGTACACAGAGTGATTCCATTATATTCGTTTACTTTGTCAAAATTCATACTATGGCACAAGATATTCCAGTTTGGTAAGATTAATGTTAAGAAAGTCAACAATCATTTGCTTGTGATCTCAATCCCACCACTTTTGATAAGCCATAGGTACGAGATATTCCACAAATGATAAAATTAGATTTGCATGTGTGCGTGACAAATATGTGCCCCAAATTACCATAGACGTGATGCCATTTTCTTCTTACTTGTCCATCCAAATTATCAACCATGCTATCAAGACCTTCCCACTCCCTCCGAGGTTCTCAACTCTAGTTGAACAAGAGGTGTTCAGCTGCCCTATATCAGCTATCAGCAACGACTGACCTCTCCTACCACCACCTTTCCTAGCCACTCCAACCTTTGCTTCCCAACCCTCACTTCATCACCTCAGACTCAAAGGAGGACCACAACATGCTGGTTAGAGGAACCAAGGTGGGGGTTCAGAGAGAAGCTGCTCGTTGGGGAGAAGGGCAGAGGAGGAGATTCGAGAATGTTTTTTAAAAGAATAAGGTGGTGATGGGGAGACGAGAAAGAAGTGTGTAAAATTAACGTAAAACGAGCATTTTGATGAAGGACAATTTTTGGAAGAAAGTGACAAAATTGCTATAAGCAAAATGAAAAAGAACATTACATCCATGCAGGCGAAACCCAACATATTAACAATTTGCGACCATTCTCATGTCAAAAACTCACTTTGCAAGGAAAGAATAGAGAGCTTTTGACCTATCAAACATAAACAACAAGCCCCAAACTAAAGAAGATACACGCTATGCAACAAAAACAAACCAACTGTATGGATCCCGACCCCGACAAAAAACAGATTTCACAATACAGACTTTTTATCAACAGAGTTGAAAAGCCTACAATATAATTGCTGGTATGGAATTTTAGAAGATAAGCATGGATGAACCAAGTGTTGATGCCCCGGCTTTACCTGTCACATTCTTCAGTTTCTGAGATGTTACCTCACTAGAGGATCCAGATTCTGGCACGTCTCCAATGTCCAAAGTGTCGGGAAGCTTTTCAGAAAACTCTGGATAGATCTGTAAGGAAGAAACACATTATTTATATCAGATATTAAAGTAGAGACATATAAACTAATCAAATGCAGTACTGATATCCAGTACATGTAAACTCATTCTTTCTCAACAATCAATTGTTCGTCTTTGGACAGGCAACACTTCGGTAAATCTGATTGGTTGATGTCTTGAAAAGTTTGTGGGCCACTAATCCATTAAAATACTTGGCAATTCCCTCACTGGCAAGTTTGATCATTTGGGCCAAAATGAAGCCAGCTAGGGGATGGCGAGTCGCAAAATACTGCTCGAGCCATAAATACACAGTCTATGTATAAGTTCAATCAGCTTAAAATATTATTTAGAGGCTTGATTTAAGCTAAGTAGCTCAGCCTGGTATAATATTAGAAGCTAATAATAACTGTAGCTTATACTATGGTATAACAGCAACTTCCCAACCTATCAATGATCCTGATGGGGACTATGGAAACAAGCATTTGCAGCAGAATGTTAAGACAGTAATGTAAAGAGGATACAGACCAAAAAAAAAACCCTAAAAAATCGTGGTTTTAATTTATTAATGAGGCAATATAACTTTTTGTATAACCTAGGAACAGAATGCAAGTGAAGTGTTTACTGGTTTAGAAGAAACTTGTCCACAGAGACACGTTTTCTGATTCACCACTCGTTACAAACATTCCTTCTATCATTGTTTTCCAGTCTACTTGTGTACTCGTAGTATACTAAGTCCTTGAAAACTCAAATATAATCCCAAAGTAGGTTGTGCTGCCAAACTAGAATGACTTCCCGAGAATAATCAGAATGAACCAAATTCAGAAAGAGTCATCAATGTCTAAAACATAAAAGGGCGCAAACGCAAATTTAGGCAGCATGAAAAATGATGAAAGTTGTCTAGACTCTGGGACTAGAAGGCTAGCTCCCTAATGAGGTTTTTAAATTCCTGAATAAATTGGAGTTTTTGGTCAACATTACGTAAGAAAATCATATAAGAAGAAGATGCAAGAAAAATAAGGGAGAAATCATGGAATGTGTTACTATTTTGGCATTATGTTAGCAGTTCATAAAATGAAGTATGAGAAAGAGTGAAAATATTTAAAGGATTGGTCAACCAAATTAGCACAATAGTTGGAAATAACAAAGATGAAAGCTAGTTAAAGCATCGAGCGAGAATTCTTTATATTGGAAAGCAAATAGAGAAGTTCACATGGTCAGAATTCAATAAAGCAGAAGATAACCTCAAGTTGATTCAGCATGTCAACTGTTGAGTCCAGGTCACCTTTGTTGGCCACATAGACATCCAAAAGAGACTCCTCTGATATACCAGGAAATGTCATCTGAAGATATGCCAAATCCAAGTCAGATTCTTCACTGAAGCTTGATTTTCCAGACAACTCATGTGGATTATATGATGATGAGGTATAGAATTCACCACCACAATGATACTTAGGGTTAGAAATCTGAGCAACTTGAACAGCATCAGCACCGTTGACATAGCTTTGAGAAAGGTTTTGGTGCTGTCCTTGTGTGCATATAAGATTTGGTTGATGTCCAAACCAGACGGAATGATTTCCACTATCTAATTGATTTGCCAAAAGTCTAAAATCTTTGATGCCATCAGTTCCTCCTCTTTTTGAGAGTGGTACGTATGATGTTGCATAGGGATTTAAAGAAGATGATCCACCCTTCATTGCTGCAGACTAGAAAAGTATAAAGACAGGAGCAATGGAGCATTATGGGAAAATAACTAAAAATAATGTTTTCAATTTATGAAAATCTGCCAAAGCTAATACCAAACTAAATAACTGTGGCATCTCAAAACTTGAGAGTGACAGGTTTAAAAGCATTTGAATTCTCAAATGAAGTAAGAGGTAATAGGTAAATTAAATGATGACAATCACAAGTAGCCTAGTAGATAATTAATTCAAAATCTTCAAATATATCCAAAGATTTCAAAACCAAACTAAAGCATTTACAATGATGTTTTGACTCAGAAACAGAAGCAAGTTCCTGATTAAGTACATGTGGAGCAAATTTGTTCAAGTTGGCAAGAATTTCACTTGATGACATTGTTTTATTCATTATTTTAATTTTTTTTCTTCCCAAATTTTGGTTTTTTATCTTGCTTATGTTTTTGTCATATAAGGTCCCAAGTTCAAATAAAAAGATGCTGTTGCCTGTTGCGGAAAGTTGACAGGCAAAATAAAATTGTTGCATCCATGACATGCATCAGTTCTCCAATGGGCAGCAATATGGCTTCGTCTTCAAAGTTTCAAAAACCACTGTGTACTTGTGTTCTCTTGTTCTCGAAACCTTTAGCAAAATGAAGCATATTATTTTCTCCATTTCTTTCTCTGTCCTCTTCTCTTTGACCATTGACTCTCTTTTGGAATATGAATTCACTACTTTTCACTACTTCTTGTGGCATCTTTAGTCATACTATATGCCTGGTCTTTCTCTCTCAAACTGTGAAAAGCTAGAATTACGGTTTCGAAAAACAACCACACTTAAAACTTAGAGTTGATTATCAAGCCACTATGTTTTAAAAATAATTGCATCCGAACTTCAACAGAAGACAAAGGTCCAATGCCTTCTGACCTCCTAAGAACAGAACAAATTTTACACGATATCCACTGCTCGGAAAGCACTCAACAAGCCAAAAGAAAATGTTACACTACTTTCATATTTCTCATACAAGGAATTCTTAAACCTTCGCTTCATGCACTCTAAGAGTGAAGACAAAACTATATATTTCAGCAAGCAACAGCCAACAGAGGACTCAAAAAAGCCAGATGCATAGACAAAAGTGCAAATACACACAATCATAACGGAAAATAAACATACAGACAAACACGCGTACACGACCTATATAAATTATGAATCGACGAAAATCTAAAAAATTAATGCCACAGAATTCCTGATCAACTCTAAGTCTGAAATCGGAGTTACAAAAGCATGATCCTTGGAAAACTAAATAATAATAAATAAAAAAAGTCATTTCAAACACAGACGAAGTAGTGCTAAATATTTTTTTAATTTCTCAATAAAGTACCTAAATTCAGTAAATGATGACACATACATATACATATACATAATCACATCTACAGAATATTGGAAAACTCACGCGTTCAATGGATCAAGAGTTGAATTTCAGATTGATAAGGAAACCCTAGATTTCGTGATCGTCTAAATTGAAGAGATTTTTCGCCTACTCCCCCTATTTGAAATAGAGAGAAAATTAGAAAGAAATCAATGAAAAATGGAGATAGTTATTTTGCTTTGTCGCTTTGTGGAGCGTGACGTCGTTTGATGAGTGGGTCCCAAACCACGAAGATCTCTAATGAAAAAAGAGAAGAAGAGGAAATTGCACTAGATATTTAAATTAATAAATAAATAAACCGGGATATGGGTATGACAACCATTATTTAATTTTTTTTACACTCATTTTTAATCAGACATTGTGTGTGAAATATTTTGTACATAAATTTAAAATTTTTTCATACTTTTTAACCACACATTGTTCCAAAAATTACTATTTATAATATTATTTTGACCAAAAAATGCTCATAAAAAGGGAGGTCAGTTTTGGGTGATACTACACGAACATAATGCGGCATTCACTGCCTCACATGAAAAGGGATTCACTTCAAATAAAATATAATGTATTCGAAATGGGTCCCCCTCCATATGAGGTGATGGACACCGTTATGGACACGACATTATATACAAGTAGCATATTTCGTCAATTTTCACCTTCCCCGTATTACAAGTAAACGAAGTCTAAACGAACATGTCCGGTAGATTATTCATTTTTGACTTCTTTTGGTTTGTTCATTCAATTTAGCTCTTGTTTGAGTTCCATCGAAATCAAATTTTTGAGGAAAAAATAGTTTGAAATAGTTATTTTTTGAAGAATGTATGATTTAAAAATAAATAAAAATTTTAAATTTACATGTGATATTATTTTATTGAAAAATGTGTGGTTAAAAAGAAGAAGAAAAAAATGTGTTTTAAATAAAATGGAGCCTAATCAAGGACTCAGAAAATAAATGAACACATTGGAGGGTATTTAGGAAGTTTAAAAGGCTTATAAGTAAATGAATGTAAAACAAATAATTCACTCAAAGTAGAAAATAAATTAATTAATTATTTAACACTAACGTAACATTTACTCACAAAAATAAATAACTTTTTTACTTACAATTAGAATGAAAGTTATCGAGGAACTACACGAGCAGGTATCATACGGACCCATCATAAATCAATTTTTACAGAAGTTCAAATACAAAAATCTTGTTTAGTTTTGATAATTATTTCTCCCTCGTCCACATTCAAAAAAAAATCATTAAGTAATCATTTCTCAAAAAATCTTTATCAAACAAACGCACATAATTATGCATTACTCCACAATTCATACCTGTAAATATTGAAAGCTCCATTCCTTCTTTTTATTTTTTTTTCCCTTCTTGGTGCTTTTCTCGATGAATTACCAAGGCAAGGGCATCGGAGAACAATTTCTCCACCAGTGAGGGTTGAGAATATGCAATGGGGGCAGGCGGACGTCCTTTTAATGCAAATACATACCAATGATGCATCACAGCCACGAGGTTTCAACAAAGGCACATCCATCAAAATTCCAAAAAGGATAGTTTTGTCGGAAGAAGTATATTATATGTTACAAACAGAAACATCAAGTTAAAGAGTACCAAATGAAAACGAGTTTTAAATCGGCACCCAAAGTTTATTCCAGAAGACAAAAATGTACAAAGACATAATCATCTCCATCAGTATGTAGCTCGACAACTTTGCTGCTTCTCCTACCGCATTGGCTGCTGGTTGTAATGGTTCTTCTCTTTCTTCTTAGCAGCAGCAAGTCTTGCACTCCTTGCAGCGGCTTCCACAGCAGCAGCTCTAGCAGCAGCATCCATCTCTTTGCTAGATTTCTTCTTCTTAGAAGATGCCAACTTCTTCAGACGCTCCTTCACGTCAACAGCAGATGCATCTTCTTCTCCCTGTTCGGTTCCAGCAGCTTCTTCTAGACTGTTAGAAATATTCGTGCTGTTGGCTTGATCCTCATGTTCTTTAGCCTCCTTTGAAACTTTATCCTTCTTTTTCTTCTTTTTTGCACTTTTAGATTCTGCAGGGACATTATCCTTCTTCTCAGCATCTCCATTCAATGCACCTTCTTTCTTTTCTTTAGTAGCATCTACAGGTGCACAAAGACAGGGTACCTTCAGTCTGAATGGTGGTCAATTTAAAATGCTTATACGCTGTTATCTCACTAGTAACTGTATAATATTCTACTGATAATAACTGGCAAAGACAATGAAAGTCCACATTATTTTCTCATTTGGTTCTATTAAGTACCAAATATACAATAATAATTATGCATCTCTACCAAAGATAGTCCACATTACCAAAAATTTTCACTCCCAAATAAATATTATAGCCATAAATGGAATGGAACAGCATAACGAAAGTGTTCATGAAGCAGTCCCAAGGAACATAATCCATAAAAGAATTTTCTGGAAGGAAACAAAATGCACAAATTACCAGTTGACTCATCTTGCTCTTTCTCCATAGGTGTAACTCCAAGATCGGCCAAAATGGCCTCCAATTCGGCAAGCTCCTTTTTCTTTCTCTCCTTCTTGGAGAGCTGTCTTTCTGTTTCTTTGACTGCCTGAGAAGTTTCTACAGGCTTTTTCACAATTGGATCAGGCTGTTCTTGCACCTCTGGTTCATGATCGTGGTCATCCTCCACATCATCATCACCTTCATCAAGAAGTTCTTCTTCACTTTCACTTTCCTGAAATTTGGATGAACAATTCATCTGTAAGACATAACATGTATCACAAACTGATTGGATATTAAGTCCGTCACAAATATATTCTTAACCTTCATCAAGAAGTTCTTCCTCACTTTCACTTTCCTGAAATTTGGATGGACAAGTCATCCGTAAGATGACATGTATCACAAACAAATGCATGAAATACTGACAGTAACTAAAGGAATAAATGCACCAAACAATAAAGCAAAGAGCTTCACTATTTCAAAGGAAGAAGCAAAAAAAAGTCCAGCTAACACTACGACAAAAGTAAAGGTCTGCAGTCCATAAATCACCACTGAAAACCATTCATCACCATTATAATATATTTGCAAGTAACTCTGCTACTATTATAGGGATTCAGGGAAATACAGCAAGAGAAGCACGCATCAAGTCAAATATCTGAGGTTCTTCTCACAGTCCATCTATTAAGAACAAGGTAAAGATTGGGAAGATTGTCGTCTATGAAAAGAAGAAAAAATGGGAAAGAGAGCCATTCTCTTTCTTTCATAAAACATTGACGTCATTCCCTATTTTAGGAGAGAGAAAAAAATTAAAAAAACCTTTTCACGCCACCCACGTTTTTCAATTTTTCCATCAACCGCTATAGCATTGCACACAAGTCATCTGAAAATTTTGCGAAAAGGTACATAAGACACTTAGAAGATATCCTCATATTCACAGCACCCTGAAGTCAATTCAACCAAGACATAAATCATGCGACGTGGTTTTATCATTAAATATCTAAAATTTGTTCAATAGCAACATTTTATGAGGCACAACAAGTCGACAAAACAAACTTTACGGAATCATAAAAGTGGCCGAATAATTAACTAATTACAACCAATAGTAACTAAGAGCTTGTTTGTGAGGGATTAAAATCGGATTAAAATCGAAAAAATAGCAAATCAACACAAAAATTTCATGGATATATTCATATTAACAAGCAAAACAAATAACCCATTAAATTTTAACAGAACAATACACTATTTATATCACAGTTATAGAAAACAACAAGACGATATTCTGTTAAATTTATTCTTATACCTCCAAGGGGTCTGGTTTATGAGTCTCTTCAGGTTTATTCGAACCTGAACCCCCCCAAAGAGACTGGGGAGGGGCAGTGGTGGCATAGTAATCATCATCATCCTCATCCTCCACATCAGCCCATGACTTGGCCGTCAGCGGTGCAGGAGCCCAGAACATCTGCGGCTTCTCATTCTCAGGTTCTTTTGATTTCCCAGCTTTGGAGGCACTCTTACTGGTCTTCCCTACATTCTTCTCTTTGTCAGACTTCTTCTTCTTCCTCAGGCTCTCCAACGCCGCAAAAACATTAGTGTTGCTCACCGTGAACGATCCCTCGTCTCTTCTGTTCCCACCCACCATTTTCCAACACTAACACAACTCCTCGACTGAGATTGAAGAAACCCTTGACGATAAAAAAAAGTGTAAATCTGGATTTCCACGTAAATCCCGTGTCCCAGATGTACACGACCCGAATATCAGAAACGGTTTCTAAGTACTAACACAATTTCAATTAAATCGGAAATGGGAATTCAAAAATTATGGAAAATGATTGTTTATTTAAAAAAAATTCAAAATGAATCTTAGAAATACCTAATTTCGAAGAAAGTATATATTTATTGACTTGTAGCTTTTCCGAGTCGTCGACGGATTAAGGGTGCGACGGAGGCTACTAGGGTAACAGAAAATTAGGGTTTCAGACACGCAGAAAAAGAACAGTATTTGTAAATGTGTGTATCAGTTACAAATAGATGCGCACTGATATAGAGGGAGAACGGGGTGGGGGGGGCTGTGGTAGATAACGTGAGGGGTAGATAACGCAAGAGGGGAAATGAGGGTTTATATGTACCTGTAGTTTCTTCATAAATGGCGAACTATAGATTTTATTATTTGCTAATTTGACATCAAACTTCGGATTGTTTACATTAACGCATCTCAATTTAGAAAATGATTCAATTCCGTCCCAACCAATTTTAAGGTAACTCCCAAGGGCATTGTAAATTTTAGAAAATAATTTAATTTTCAAAAATACATTTGGAGAAGATACTGCAAAAGTTACTTTCTTAAACACTTTACAAAATAACGTTATCTACCTCCACTTTATATAACATTATGTGATATGTTCAATTAACTCTCCGTTTGTTTCTCATTTTTCATCCATAAAAATGACTGTTATCCATGACATTAAGCTATCAATTTTGAATTTTCATATCTTGTGTGGGGCCCAATAACGACTATATTTTTCATTCTCATTCTACGACAATGAGAATCAAACCGGCCCTAAATATAAAACTCTTGATTCTTTTAATTCTACCTTTCCTTTGATGACACTTAGTGTCACCTAAACTGGCATCGCAACATCAATGGTGTTAAATATCATTAATACAATTCCAAGTTAAATATTATTTGTCTGTTTCTTCAATATATTGTACTTGATATGCATGTTTTTATTTCAATTGGAACAAAATTGGAAAATATGAGACATGTTTATTTCATTTGTATATTTAGGGGTGTTAAATGAAACGAATTGAGCTACTCAACTCACTCAACCAAAGTATGGCTCAAATCACGCAATTTTTCAATTCAGCTCAGACACGAGCTGAATCAAACCAACCAACGAGCGACTTTCCCTACTTAACCCCCCTAATGTATTAAATAATGATATGAAATTTAAGATGTAACTAGGTAATCGCTAAAATACACAATTTTCGGTGATGAGAACTACAATGCGCATGCTGAATATGCAGTTTATAATGAACAATGCACGATTCATTAGCCATCAGCAAGAATGAACAATCCCAGATATGGAGCAAGCGAAATCTTGCTATGCACATTGGGGCACTTCCAATGCTATTCCACACCCTGCACGAACCGATGGGGTTGGGGGCATTCATTTCATAGACTGAGGGAGTCGAGACCAAACGAGTTTTTTGAAGCAAGCATTCATTCTTCTGCTAGATTTAAATAAATTCCTTCAAACAATATTTTTTCAAATAAATTTCTATTGAACCCTACAGTAATTGTAAATTTCTCTCTGGAAATCACCCTATTATACCACAATACAAGGAAACTTGTCAATGTCTTGCAGAGCTCTAGCACAATTAACGTTGTCATGTACAATGGTGACCACGAAAGGAGACCCCAATGTCCAAAATACACACGATCATTCTCTTACTATATAACGTTGTGAGACACTTCTCGGCATCATTAACTATGCCACAAAGAATAGGAAAATCATGAGAAAGAAAACTAGTACAAAGAATATCTTGATCATAAGCCACCGGTTTGAAGAGATGCTATTGAGATACTTGAGCAAAGCCCCTTGTGCTCCCTCCACATTTGACAGTGTATCGTCCATGTTCTCATCAATCCTACACGACAACAATTGTTATCAAGTTCAAAATCACTGTTAGAAGAAAGAACTGAATCGTTCAATCAGATATAATTTATCAAAGTACCAAAGAATAAACTAGTAAATGGAAATACAATCCTAGCTCACCCGAGTACCGCAAAAAGGAAAGCATTAATATATATTGGCTCAATGCCTCAATTCCATCCATAAAAATATATAGGCAAACACTAACAACCCTATGCTGGATCAACGCTACTATATTCTCAATATCCAGATGGGTTGAAGTAACAGTTACAGACCGTACATCATGCACAAATATAATGAACCCGGGTCATTTGGTGCATTACCCATTGGCTGGCTCATCTATTTCTTTGCCTACTAAATAACAGAAAGTTAACATTGTGCAGTCTGAATTAAATATTGATATCAATTGGTCATTAAACCACACAGTTCGTGACGAAATAGAATGCAATAAGATAGGTTTCATTTGTAAACCTGATAGCAATCTCTCCTTGCTGAGAAACCAAGGTAGCAAGCTGATTAAAAATATTGCCCAGCTCATGAATTGTCGATTCCACATTCTGAAGCGCTTCAGCTCTACTCTGCATGTAGCTATCTTGTACTGGAACCAATTCCTGTTGTTGTTGTTGTTGATGATGCTGCTGCTGTGACATTAATGGTTGAGTCTCCCCATCCATCTGGTTCCTGTCGTTGGAGTTAAATGAAAATAAGGTTTGCTTGCAAATGGATCAGTTTATCTCAATCGAGAATAATTAAAAACTCGACCAAAACTATTTTTTAAAGACCCGTGAATGATTATTTTGACTTATATCAACTAAAAGCATTAAATAAACTTCCTATTAAACATTCTGCCCTTAGATGTACATAAAAATGACTAGTAAATCATATTCCATTTAACTAGGTAGAAAGTGTAGATAAAAACCATTGGCTGTACAATATTAACTATGTTCTTACTTAGGGAACGGATGGGATGAAGATTGTCCCCCACTAGCCCATGGAAGAGCAGGGGCAGCTGAAGTACTTCCAGCAGGCTTTGCAGCCAAAGGTCGCTGGCGAACAAATGGATTAGCCGGATTCTTGGAAGCATTAGAAGAGAACAATTGTCTCCTGTTTTCATGAACCTTCAAGTTCTGTAAAAAATCCATGAAAATGTTGTTCACCTTAATGAAATACTTTAACAGGATATGAAGTAAGTCCATTCATCTAGAGTATGGAAATGCAAAAATAAATTCGTCAGTAGAACACAAGGTGAAAACATCTTGGCTCACCTCTGTCCTCATAGTCAATACTTCCTTGAACTCCTTTGTGGCACTCATCAACCGATTCTTCAGATCATCAACTACTGTTGTAGAATGAGTGGTGGTGTCACTGGAAATATTACTATTTCCATTACGTGAGTTGCATAGAAGCTGGAGATCAACTACGGCAGAATTCAGTGCAGTTATATCTTGCTTGATAACTGCTGTCAGCTCCTGAATTTCCATGGTGGGATCATCAAAAACTGAGGTCCTCTTGGCCACTGCAGTAAAATCGAATAAATAAGTTATTTATTTGACCAGGCCACACACCAATCCACCTGAGTGATTCTCAAGAAAAGGAACATGATAAAGGAAATGCTGACCGTGCCAAAATAAATAAATAAACTCCATGGCCTTAAAGGTTTCACGGTGCTTTTCATCCACAAGAAAATTATAATCTTCCCAAACGAAAGTCTGATTGTATTTGAATCTTTACAATTCATAATTTTTGAATCTCGTCAACAGCAGAAATAAAATAGAACTTTGTTCCTTGCATTGGCATCAAAGCAGGAGCATCTTCTGTATTGGTAATTCGACACATGATACCCATGCAATTATGCAGTCAGTCTCATACAACTTGTATATTTGTACATACTTGCATAAGCAAGAGGCAAAATTAGCATCCGTTATATTTCAGCGTAAGTATCGAGAGACAATTGAACATGGTCCAATTGCAAAACAGGCATGGGATGCCCTCTGCAACAAGTGTAACATCAACCACCCTTGTTTCCAAAGGCCTATAATGCTATATCAATATTGGTGAATTACCTGCGTGGATTTAGACCTGGATCATCCACAGCTGTCATCCCAGTTTTGCTTTTTTGGCTTCTTTGTTAGAAAGAAACAATGCCAAGAACAAAATGTAAAGTGCAATCAAGGAGTCTTAAAAGAGTATTCCAATTACTATAAATCCTTGGAGACGCTGGAATTCTCACAGACAGCCTTAAGTTTCAACCAAATTTAGTCCATTGGAAGAAACCTTCTCTTGGGTGTTGTCAAACTAAACTCTGATGGATGCCAAGGGAACTCAAATCTAGCTGCAGGTGGGGGGTAATAGGAAATCATGTAGGTAAAGTTCTCCTTGCATATTATGACTTTTATTGTCATGTTCTTCTTTGGAGGCAGAAATTAGAGCCCTATGTACAGGTCTTAAGCTAAGCAATCAATTTGGTTATGCACAAATATGGGCTGAGATTGATTCATTTTCCACCCTTCAACACATAGACCTCGGCAAGTCCAACACCATTAGAAGAAATACACCACTGGGGGTGTAGGTAAACATTCAGTTTTCCCATATTTGCCAAGAAGGCAATACATTTGCCTAACATTTAGCTACTATGAGGTACAAAGAGCAAAAGCTTTCGATGGACCTAGGCAAGTCCAATACTATTTAGAAGAAATCCCCAACTGGAGAGTAGGCTCAACATTCAGTTTTTCCATATTTGGCAAGAAGGGAATACAGTGACGACCATTTAGCTAATAGGGGTACAAAGATCAAAAGTTCAAGCTTTTTCAAAAACAAGAGTTAACTGCTGAGATTAATAGATTGCTAAGACTAGATAAAGGAGGTTTGCCAAACATAAGGATGTAACTGGCCTTAGTTTCTATTGGAATTGGTTAAATATAAAAGGGTGGTGCTATGTGTACATTAAGTACACATGGCCGACCCTCATTGGAGGGTCAGCTGACGCGACAGCCGACCCTCCAATGAGGGTAGGCCATGTGTACATTATGGATCCCTTTATGGATCCCTTAATGTACACATAGAATAATCCAATATAAAATCATAGAAAAGTGACTTTCGTGTCAACTTCGGTCAAATATTCGGACTTAATCCAAGTCAAAATATAGAAATAAATAGACTAACTTGTTCTACTCAGTAGATTGTTTTGTTATATTTGGAATCTCAAAATCAATTCTGGATGAATGGGAAATTGCGGTCCAAAGTTGGAAAGGAAAGAAAGGAAGACTAGTTGAGAATTGTGTAACTTCACCGCTAGCCAGTGCTCGAGCGGAGAGGCTGTCGCTCGAGCGACGGGTTCTCTATTTTTTACGCTTGAGCGACGGCAAAAGTTGCGACTCATGGCAAAAGTTGCTGAATTTTGAGGCGCGTCTCTTAAATCACAATCTCTGCTCCTCTATAAATAAGACCATTGAGACATCTATTATTACTTCATCCCAATGATATACAATCATAGCATAACATAAAACTTATTTTCTTAGCCGAAACTTTGAATAAAAATTGTTTTTCCATTTCATTCAAATGCAGTACATAAACCTATCTTTTAGTTCGTTCTTATTGTGTTTTGGAGTGCTACAAATATAAGAAGATAGTCATTGCATCTTGAGAGTTTTGTCATCATCCGTAGGCACCGTTGCTGCGGGGCAAATTCGACTTAAGAACAAAGAGTTCAACTCTTCCTCGACTTTGCTTTCACCTTCTTGGTGTTACTTTGTCCAAGTTCGTTGGCCTTTTTAATATAATTCTTGTGGTGCTTTGCAGTTACTCTGTTCAATTTTGGTAAGGTTGGTAAGTTTAGTTTTTAAAGTCATCACTCAAATCCATTTTTTATCAACAGTTTCTTGTTCCCTTTTTCTTTTACCCGCAATTATAACTCATGTATAGACTAGGTTGCTTTCCTTAAGTTTTATATTTCCATGGAGGAAAGTTTCATTAAAGTCCCCCTCCTTTGTACAATTTTTGCAAATCAAAATACTACGGTAGAGGGCAAAGCCAAAGCCCCCATTCTGTTAAGGTGAGAGGCCAAAACAATAACAAACCCAATTGAGGACCGACCCGGAGTGAGGCAAGCAAAAAATGCCTCAAGGCAATGATTGTCAGGAAGTTTTTTGGGAGACGTATGCCTCAACTGTATGGGGCGCATACCTCAAAGCACCGCCTCCAGGCTTGTGAGAGGCATGCTCCTAATCGTTCATCATTATATTCTTTGCTTTAATTGTGGCCCACAAACATAAAATTCAGATTGATCCATGTTGGGAATATCCTATTGCCCACTAAAACATTAAAAAAAATTGTTTCTCATAGACCCACTTGGAAAGAGTTAACTGCCCCACTTTGGGAATAGCCAACTGCCCTACCAACTAAAATAATTGTTTTTTTCTCTTTATAGATTTTTTTTTTTTGCACACTTTAAATAACTATATTATGAATTTTGAAGATTGCTTGTGATTTATTATGAGCTTATTTTACATTTAAATACCTTTTTTGACATTTTTCTGGTTTACGGTAAGATTTATCCCTCAAAATGCCTCGAGCTTAAACCTCGCCGCCTCATGAAAGAAAAACACCTTAGTAACGACGGCACACCGAGGCTTCCCCGTCTTCGTGTGGTAGTTTCTAAGAAAAGAAAAGCATTCCTATACTATCCAAAAATTTCTTTCGAAAGTGGGGTTACCACCAAAAAGATGCTGGAAAAAAGAGATAGCCTATTGACTTGGCATTGGCATTGTAAGCACTTAACAATCTGATTTTGGACTTCAACCAGAGTTTTTTTGGTCATCAATGTGACCTGTCCTTAATACAACAAATCTAATTCTACCGCCGTTTTAAAAATTGACTAGAGCACATCGTGCATGATGTTCGCATACAGAGATAAATATTAAACATTTTACCAGCAAATTATAATCATGGACATCCAATTCAAAGAATTCTGCAAAAGCATAACTTTAAGCAGCTCCTATAAACCCCCAAAACCCGACCAAATAATGATAAATTCTCTTTCATTCTGCCATTATCCGAACTATAACTAGAAGAAGAGAAAACAATTACTTACATTTCGCGAGCTTAGATAGTTTCTGCGAGGTCTGGTGAATCCCGAGCCCGATCTTGGACGCCTTACGATTAAATTCCGACTGCATCGCCATGGTCTGCGGTTCCTGAGGTTTCGAACCGCTGCTGCTTGGCCCATTTTGAGAGGAGTATGACTTCTTTACCCTCTCCGCTATGCCCAGAAACTCCTGCGTCCGATCCCTAATCGACGCATTCGCACCTTTCCCCCACATTTTCTCAAATGAATTCGTTACACCACAACAACATAAACACCAAAAACAAAAAGAACTAAAACGAGATTGAGTAGTATAGCCCTTGGGTTCACGAAAATTACAGATCAGAACCAGATCTCAAACCCTAGATCTGCGAAAAGGAGATAAAATTCATCCGAACACAAAGCAGATAAAACAAAATTAGCGCGAATTGCACCGTAAGGTATAATTATGTGTCGGTCTTAGTGTATATATTTGTGAACGATGCAAGGATGTCATATTGAACAGCTGGAGGGGAAATTTCGGGTGCAAGAGTAACAATCCATCAGCTATATCCTATATATTTTATTTCACTCTGATCACTGTTCCTTTTTTTTTTTTTCCCTCTTTTTNGGCAAAACACTATAAAAAGGGGGAAAATGGTTTGATCTTGAGTTTAAACACTGACTACGTAACAAGGGAAAATGAACGTTTTGTTTTTTTTTTTTTGTTTTGGGGGGGGGGGGGGGGGGGATCGGGTTTGTTTTTTAAACAGTGTACTGAAAAAATGTTTGATTAAAAAATAAAACAAAATTTTATATTTACATATAATATTATTTTACTGAAGAATGTGTTATTGAACTGAGATAAAAACACTATTCACAAAACCTTTTTTTTTTTTTTTTCCAAAGAACGGGGCTCAAACAAGGATTAAAACTCAATCCATCGAGGGGCCGAAACTATCAAATTATATGAATTAGGTCCTCAACTTTCTACAGGAAACCCAAGAAAAGAATACAATTGATAAAAAAAATAGAAACTTGATTGTCTAAACCCTGGTGTGACATCTGATCATGCATTGGTATTTGATTGGACTTTAAATATTTATGACGAAATCATGATAGAATTTCATAAAATACATTTTAGGACCTATTTGACAAAACTTTTAAAAAATCAAAAACTGTTTTGGAGACCAAGAATCTACATTGAACAAGTCTGAATGTTTTTTCTAGAAATATTTTGTCAGACTAAAAGAGCTTTTAGATGAAGCTCACCTAAAATAACTTTCGCATGAAATTCTTCTACAATAAACAAAACCAATAAAAAAATCATGTCAAATGGACCCTAATTCAATATCTCCAATAATGTAAGAACATTCATATATTCACTTGCACATCTAATAAGCTCACTTTCACGTCTAATAAAAGTTGGATCACTGTCCATCAAGCAAAGCTATAAAGAAAATTTCTATATGCCAATTATCTCCATCCAAGATTTTAACTTCATTGTAACACAGGTATGGGAGTACACAAACAGCAGCTGCAAGAATCGAGATTGAGATATGCTAATAAATTTATAATCTTCCGTCACAGATTTTAGCTTCAATATGTCTTGTAATGTCCAAGCATGCCATGGCGGTTGTAACGAAGATATGTGAGTACACAAACAGCATATCCAAATATTGAGATGTGCCAACAATATGCCGTCCAAGATGTTAGCTTCTTTTTCTACTTTAATATCATCGTGTGCTGACCAGCAATATGCCCAATACGTCTATCGTGATTGTAACATTCGAGTATAAACAGCAGCCCCTTGACGCCTATTGAGAAAGTTCGCAACAGAGTCAATTTCACCCAGGATAGAAAATTCAACCTGGCCATTTATGAACCTTTGATGTCTAGACAAGGCTCTACTTATGGGCGATGGTCACAGACTCTACACCACCGAGGTCGAAAATTTAAACGATTCCCACACTTGGGACAGTTAACTTTCAATCAGCTGAGCCAATACGTTCCAGGCTGCATGCAACAGGAAACTACTGCATAGAATAGTACCTGAAGCCGGTCAGTTCAACAACCTCCATCAACTTAAGCCATCCAACATAATTTGCTAGGGACATCCTGCGAATGTAATCACAATGATTATGAAAACTCTAAGGGCCTAAAGGCTAAAGCTTCCTGTATTTATCATATATAATAATAACAATAAACTATGTAATATTCCCAATAAATTTCAGGTGTGTATTTAACATGAAAGTTTCAAAATTTGACAATCAGCTACAAAAGGATATCAGCATATAATTGAAAAATTCAATGATTGAATAACAATGGAAATTATTGCTTGCCACCAAATTATAGCTCACAAATATGGCAGGCTGCTCCACACTCTACAGAATGAATTATCTTTGAAGAAAACCCCAAAAAGACCTTTCAGCAGTTAGAACAGATTTCAGAAGCAGCTTCAAAAAATTTTGAAACAAATGTGGCAACATTCCTCCAATTTCTATTTTGTTTATTAAACGTCTTGCAAAGGATTCTTATTTATTCAGTCCACAAACACCAAATAATTAATAAACTAGAACAAACTTCTCCCGAAATGCAGTGGACTTGTTAAGACTTAAGAGAGCTTTGAGACTGCATAGGTCAAACTATAATCAGATTTACACATCATCTTTGCCAAAGTTCAAAAATTCCTCAATGATAAAAAGGGAATTTATGAAAGTTCAGTACAGTAGCCCTCTTTCGGCCTGCAGTGGTCATAGCATCTATCTAGATGAAGTGTACTGATATAGAAGTAATCATAGGCCAGCGTTATTCCTGTTTTCATATAGGAATATAGAAAAAATTATAGAGAGCAACAAGCAAAAATAAACAGGATAAACATGTTTAGAACCCAGTTTAGTTGCTGTTGCAATGTTTATTTTGGTGTTATTTACTCCTGTTAAGAAAGATATCTTACCATTAGTTAGTTCTTCACCAATGCTCTCAACATATGATCTGCTCCCAACCCTAGCACTCCATAGCTCGCAAAATGACACGTCTTCCTTGGAGATATCAAACAAACCAAAAAGATATGTCTTGCTTGGAGATATTAAACAAACTCCAACGTCTTAACTGAAAAATCTGGCACAACACTTCTTCCAGAAATTGGAGTATGTTCCACATAATAATCCTCAGCATACACCAAATATTACAGGAGCGAATGTTGTGAAATAACGTCAATGATAATGAGATGTGCTTCCAGAGTTTAAATCTGTACTTTGCATTTAGAGGACTGGTACTCAAATCAACTAGAAATGTGCATCGAGATGGAATTTTTTTTTACAGAGAACATCTAACTGTTAATGCATACTTAATTGGCAATGAAAAATCAATAATGCAATAACTTGGCCGTTTGAATTTCCATTGCAAGTTTCGCAGCATCATTTCTGAAGCCTGAAAGATTAAGACCATTAACAATTGCCCTTTGGTCCGATCTAAGAATTCTCATCCCAGCTCTAATACAAGATAGTAGGAGTTTAGATGCTTCATGGAACCTCCTAGCCCTGCAAAGATTTTGGATCAAGGAAGAGTAGGTAAATGAATCCTTTACATCCATAGACTGAAAGATTTTCAATGCATAATCAATTTGACCAACTTCACACAGCCCGTTAATAAAGCAATTCAAAGCAACTAAGCAATCAAATCCCATCATTTTCATATAGTTTAAATGCCTTTTGGCACCGTCAATATTTCCTGCCTTGCACAGACCATCAATCAAGATAGTATGAGTATACTTATCGAATTCCAATCCTTCTTTTTCTACCGTATCCAGCAACTGGTAGGCATCTTCTAATCTACCTTCCTTACAATACAAATTGATAAAGGTGTTATAAGACACTACATCAAGCTCATACCCATTCTTAATCATGTCTGACATGCATTTATTAGCATCTTGTATCCTACCCGACTTAAGTAAAGCACCAACAACTGTGCAATATGCAAATGCATCATATGTATAGCCTCTACTCTTCATCTCAAAGAAAAATTCCAACCCTTTATTGAAGTACTTACGTCTGAAGCAGTATTTCATCACTGTAGTATAAGTAATGGCATTTGGGACAAAACTTGAATCTCTAAGCTCATCAAAAAGCTTCATTGCTGACCTGAACTCTCCAGACTTAAATAGTCTATTAATCAGAATGTTGTATGTCACTATCTCAGGGTTATATCCATAACTCTGCAAATTTCTAAATAAGGAAAGGGCATTACTTATGTATCCATTCCTGCAGAGTCCATTAATCAAGGTATTATACGTGGTTTGACATGGAGAGATACTCTGAAGAATGATCTTGTGGAAAACCCTGTAAGCCTCATCTGGTTTTCCTGATCTGAAAAAGCAATGCATCAGTGTATTATAACTCCACAAGTCAGGAACAATTTCCATATTGAGCATTTCTTCAAGCAGATCAAAGCATTGAAATAATGAGCTTTCCCTGTTGGCACCAGCCATCAGAGAATTATATGTAACAACATCCGGGTTCACCCCAGCTTGTTTCATTCTGTGAAGAATAGAGTAACCTGCATCAAACCCAACAAACCGACAATATCCAGTAATCAGAGTATTGTAAGTCACCACATCTGGTAGTATGCCTAATCTAATACCATCAATTATAGCAGCTTCAGCTTTCTCCAACTGCTTAGTTCTGCAAAGGGAAGCTATAGTTATATTCAACAATTTAGTCGATAATTTGTCGAACATTCTTCACATCTACTCCAAAATCAGACCCACAAATCTGCCAAGTGTGAGAATCTGGTGTCGGTTAAAAAAATTTACATTACCTTCACAGTTTTTGAACGACAACTTCGAAGTTCTAACTAACCCAAAATTAACAAACAACGAGAACGTCCACTCAGAAATCAGCTGAAATTCCATGCAATGCAATATGCTAAGTTCAAAACTAAAGAAACTACAGGAATTTATCACCAGCTAATCTTTAACAATAGGAGTAACCATGTGTAGAGCAATCCCACATTTGTTTAGTTAGAAGACACAGAACTTCAATATTGTAGTTCTTCCCACCTCCAAATTCTATGCTGCTGGACCAAATGCACATGAAATTGGATGATATAGCATAGTCGAGCTTGCACAGCCAATTAAAGTTCCCATGTGGGCTTGGCAAGTTGTAACAGTGAGTATTATTTATGGCAAACAGCTTCCTTCACCTGGTGGCAATCCGCATTTTAATTATTTTAGTCCACACATCACAGAAGAACAAATCCCCATATCAACCCTCAAAAAAGCAATTAAAATAAAACCCAATAAAGCCAAAAAAAATAAATAAATTCAAGTCCTATTTTTAGTCAAAATCAATAAATGTGTGAATGCTATAAGAGAGCCAAAATAATATTAAAAGGGGGGAGGGTTCCCTCATAACTCAGACTGAATCCAGCAATTCTTTGATTTGCACCTATTCATCATATCTAGAACAGAATATCTAAAATTTCACGAGGACACTAAAATGAACTATAACTAGATTTGTTTAATGCACATCAATTGTAGAATTCTAAATTAAGAATTAAAGCTAAGCATTTTCGAGTTTGAAATTTAAGTTTTCCAATCGTTAACGATGGCACTTCATTGATCAGCCTCCTTACTTAAAGGTCTCTCTCTGTGTGTGCGTGTGTTCTTGAGAGAGAGGCCAAGTAAGAGGATAACACGACACAACCCGTCCTGAATCACACTAGTGAATCCAAAACGTAACGTGCGCCGAGAATAGATACTGACTAGATGCCAAAGCTGACTATGAATTAGTACTAAATATGCGCCGAAATAGAATGCTTATGAAAAAAAAAATAATGGAATGGGCACAAAACAATTACTTTGTGCTTTATCAAAATAAAGCATATCACTTAATATGTCATGTGGTTATAACTCTTACATCATCAAGCACCTCAAGCTATCAAGAACCAATTGCTACGTGTAAAAAAAATCGTGAAAAATATATGAGTGGATAGCTCAGAAAGTGAAGAATTTTGAAAATATTTATACTTTCTTATTTGTATATATTCATAGAAAATCGAATTCATATCATTTAATAATTCACAAGGTAACATCATATAGAGCTTGTTTGGTAGATATTAAAATCAGATTAAAATTGAAAAACTAGCCGTTATTGTTGACTTTTATTAGACGAGTGGGATCTAATAACGGCTATATTTTTAATTTTAATTCAATTTTGAGCTGTACCAAACAAGCTCATAATTATAACCAAGTGAAATATTCTCATAATACTGAAAATATCACCATTGATATCCGTACTATAATCTCATCCCATCAAAATGTATTGAAAAATCCACCATAAATGTACCCTATGACTAAAATTTGTAATTTGGGTCATACGGGCGTAGACTGCCCATTGGGCTAAGCAATTTCGCCACGGGCCTCAGGCCCATCAGTGAACGAAAACGGGTCTCAAAGACCTCTAATAATCAATTCTAGAACACGGCCAAAGCCCCTCTGTGAATCATAGAACATGGACGCCTCTCTGTGAACTAGAAGAAGTATATAATCACGGTTACTTTTCTGGTTGATTTCAATATCACATCTCACATTGCAAATCATAAGTAACCCATTTACTAAACTCCACATATATCATGGTGAAAGAAACTTTCATAATAATTATGTAATCGAACAAATAGTTCACATAGTCGCACATAATGTAATAATTTAACTAATTTACCAATATTTGAAAACATTTAGAACCTGTTTGGTACAGATTCTCATTTTCTACAGTAAATCAATTCTCATTTTCAACCACACATTCTTCAATAAAATAATATTTTTCATCACATCAATACTTTTTTCTTCTTTTTCAACCACACATTTCCCATTATATCACTATTTAAGTTTTCCAATCGTTAACGATGACACTTCATTGATCAGCCTACCTACTTAAAGGTGTCTCTCTCGGTGCGTGCGTGTGTTCTTGAGAGAGAGGCCAAGTAAGAGGATAACACGACCCGACCCGACCCGTCCCGTCCCGAATCACACTAGTGAATCCAAAACGTAACGTGCGCCAAGAATAGATACTGACTAGATGCCAAGGCAGACTATGAATTAGTACTAAATATGCACCGAAATAGAATGCTTATGAAAAAAAAATAATGGAATGGGCGCTAAACAAGTACTTTGTGCTTTATCAAAATAAAGCTTATCACTTAATATGTCATGTGGTTATAACTCTTACATTATCAAGCACCTCAAGCTATCAAGAACCAATTGCTGTGTGTAAAAAAAATCGTGAAAAATATATGAGTTGATAGCTCAGAAAGTGAAGAATTTTGAAAATATTTATACTTTCTTATTTGTATATATTCATAGAAAATCGAATTCATATCATTTAATAATTCACAAGGTAACATCATATAGAGCTTGTTTTGTAGATATTAAAATCAGATTAAAATTGAAAAATTAGCCGTTATTGTTGACTTTTATTAGACGAGTGGGACCTAATAACGGCTATATTTTTAATTTTAATTCAATTTTGAGCTGTACCAAACAAGCTCATAATTATAACCAAGTGAAATATTCTCATAATACTGAAAAATATCACCATTGATATCCGTACTATAATCTCATCCCATCAAAATGTATTGAAAAATCCACCATAAATGTACCTTATGACTAAAATTTGTAATTTGGGTCATACGCGCGTAGACTGCCCATTGGGCTAAGCAATTTCGCCACAGGCCACAGGCCCATCAGTGAACGAAAGAGGGTCTCAAAGACCTCTAATAATCAATTCTAGAATACGGCCAAAGCCCCTCTGTGAATCATAGAACATGGACGCCCCTCTGTGAACTAGAAGAAGTATATAATCACAGATACTTTTCTGGTTGATTTCAATATCACGTCTCACATTGCAAATCATAAGTAACCCATATACTAAACGCCACATATATCATGGTGAAAGAAACTTTCATAATAATTATGCAATCGAACAAATAGTTCACATAGTCGCACATGATGTAATAATTTAACTAATTTACCAATATTTGAAAACATTTAAGTTTTCCCACTCACCAAGTTATAGACCGATCGCGGTTTCAATCTTCCCGTCACATCCTCACCTTCAAATACCAAGTATGATATCACGCACTCGCCCCAATAGATCATATTCCTTCAAGAAGATGCCTCAAGCATTTTTCCTATCATTTTTCCAGAGACAACAGTAAGAATTTAAATGCCCATAAAATCAGAATGAAAAGACTGTACCACAAAAAAAAAAAAAAGAACCTCTACCAATAATATTCAACTCCAAAATCAGACAGTCAAGATCAGGCAAAAATACCGACACAGGAAACTCTTCCCAGTTCAAATTCCAACAACACTGAAGAAAATTCTAGAATTGAGCCTTTAAAGACGAGTAGAGCAGATTTGCCCATATTTGAAGCCCAAATAGTGTACAATTGAACTCAAGAAACATCAAAAACCAGTGGAAACACATTATATTCCAAAGTTACTTCATTCACTGCCCAAATACCTCTACACCTATATGCTGTCGCCTGCTTGTGAAGATCAATTCCTGTCAATTCTATTGCCTTATCAGTGCATATAAAACTTCATCAAACATTAGTTAACTCCAGCCTGTAGCTCACTTCTTACCACAGTACCATTTTTGTCATAACAGCAGCAGACATTCTGTGCCTTAAGGGAGAAAACTGACTATGGTCGAAGAATAATAGCCAAAAAAACTACCTGAGCAACAGAACTCCGTTTAAATCCCTATCATCTCACTCCTTAAGAGTACACAACACAATGTACTTTAAATCAATTTCCTGGCCAAATTCAACCTAATTCAAAGATCAAATAACCGAAGCACATACACACGCACGACAATGCCCTGGAAATAATAAGCAAGAGTTGATGAAAACTCTGTAACTATTGAGATTGTGATATAGTGCTCGACCTTTACTATTGCAGTAGTCCAGTACTTGTGCTCAATATGAAGCTAACGTCAAACTTGTTGCCATCTTATTGGTTGGTTCTCCCCTGAACCAATCAAAACAATATCACTTTGTTTTCTATCTTGAAGCTTATGCTGTTATTGCATTGGAATGAAAGTAAAATGAAAAGACAAACCTCTTCATTTTCATCTCTAACAAATGAATAAAGTATATAGAAATAGATTAAGACAATTGTCAGTATTGATCCTACTAAATGTAGAAGACACTATGTGGACTTAAATCTGCATCCTCAGTTCATATATCCAGCTGAAGAATTTTAACATTGAATTAGCACATTGTTTTTCCTTTTATCATTTGCAATCAATCAATTGAAATAAAATAATACTATTATCCTAGCAATTATTGTACTTATTGAAAAGTTTAATGAAATGGAAAAAAATAAGTGCCATCATCTTATAAGATATGGCTTGAACTTAAGAAAATCAGCACATTTATCGATCATCGAAAAAAATTAAAGAGAACTGACAATTAAATACATGCTTTGGAAGATTTTTATGAATCATATACTCGGCACAATCAAAATTAACACAACAAATATTTTGATAAGTACTTGAGCACCATCAACAGTACCCATTACCAGGTCTAGTGATTGAACCAATTTGGAAAGTCATATATTTCATTCTTCGTAAGAAANAATATATATTTCATTCTTCGTAAGAAACTGTAAAAAAAACATATGATGAATGAGAAGTTGAAAAAACACACGCATAATAGTTGATTACAAATCTACTA